GCGTGAGTCTGAGGAGAACCCGAGGCGTTCGTGGCACGTTGCGATTCTTCCTGTGTGCCACATGAGTCCCACATGACACAAGAAACCACATGTTCAAACAATATCCTGTCAACAGACTGTGCCTCTGGCTAATCTTTACCTGCCTGAGATAGTTTTATATGTACTGTTTATGAAACAAGGCAGGATTTCAGTCTATAACATTCTCCTGCATTTTTTTTACAGTCAGGGGAGAAATGTTAAATATAGAAACCTGTCTGGCCTGACGGCAAACAGAGGCTTTTCACACTATGCTAATGTTTATGTCAAGGTTTCATACTTTTAGCACAGATTTAACTGCAGTACTAACAACTAAATATGTTACTAAACATAAACAGTGTGTTAAGAGTTGTTTAGCGAACTGTTTATCAAGACATACAATTCTGAAGTAAATTATGCTTGCCTAATTAAATATCCTTGCATATGACATTTAGTTTTAGCATACGAGGGAAACCGTCAGTAAAAAACTGTCATAAAAAGACATTCACAACTAATTTTTCTTCCTTTAAGGTGCTTTTCTAACTGTAAAATGGGATTTGATTTTTCAATTGGGAACAACGTTTCCCTAAAGGCTGGAATACACTAGACGACTTTTGCCCAGATATTTGCCCCAAATTGCAGTCTGGATGAGCTGACGCTTGTTTCTGAAAGTCAGAGCCAGTCTGCAGATTTCGAGCAGTCAGAGTTGACAAATTTCACCAAAAAAATTGTATGATAGACACAGACTCGGATAGTTTAGTTTCAAAATGTAACTCCATCTTGTTGAAGGATTTCAAAAATGTTTTATATTTTGAGTCGATTTTAAAACACTCGTTTTTATTTGTCATGCATCTACTAGCAAATCAACGCATGTTTACACATTTTCTTATTTACAAATCATATGACGTCTAATTTTTTTAATCTATTCAGATTTGAATATTTATGTAGTGTATTCCAGACAGAAGATCGTAGAGACCACTGGATTTACTTGGTTTCACAGATTGGTTGTCGTGTATATATATATATATATATATATATATACACACACACACACATATATATAATTTACTGGAGTGTCAGGTACAAGACAGCCCCACTCAGATGCTATATGAGATTCATATGGGCTAATTCAGTCAATGTATATAGGCCCCACCATAAAATGTAAATCAGGTTACATGCCAGACTTCTCCATATAATATTATTAGCATTGTAAATCTGAAAATAAGAATGTTAACCCAGGGATTACACATGTGCCGTGTGAAATTACAGGATTAATTAGCAACCCAGTAAGAACAATTACCTTAGGTTAACAATTTCAAGTGTGAAAAGCCCATAATTTGACTCTTCATGGGAGGTGAGCCTTAAACATGACAAGCATGAAAGTATTTGTGCTTGTTAGAATGTAAGCAAATTATGCAGGAAAAATAACTGTGAGAGGAGACAGTAAAACGGGTCTGAGAAAGAAAACAGATGTGAGTTGCAATCCAGGCAGCAAGAATGCATGATGCATTCTTAAATAAGTTTAGGCCCAGAGGAAGCGAGCGGCTCGGGCGTGTGTGCTAAACAAACACCTGAATGAGGTGACAGCGGGACACATTCAAGCAATGAAGCTGATGTGCAAGAGCGAAACTATTGTGTGTTTTTACCATCCAATCAATGTGATTGGATGGTAAAATATGTAGCTGACATGACACACACACACACCTGCAGATTTATCTATCATATGTTTCACCTGATATAAAATATGTGCAGCTTTTATAACCACATATGAGCCCCAAACTGATTTTTTTTTAACTTAAAATATGTTTTATATATATAAGTGTATTCAATGTGTACGGAATGGTTCAAAAGTTTCATGGTTATACCACGTGACATTTTTGGAGCCAGTGAATCATGTTGTTTGTATAAAACGGTATACAAGTTTTAAAATGTAGGAAACCAACATGGACAAAGAAGCATCAAAACGCTTTTTGAAGAACTTGGCATTAGAGTTTTAAAACAGAT